TGGGGGGGGGGGGGGCTATATAGACCCTATATATACAGCTGACAATAATGTAGTAATTGGCTAAATCTTGGCAAAAGGGTGGTACTTTGTTGGATAACACAATGGCTGACCACTGGCAACCACTGTTTGCTGTCTAGATACATACCCCCAGTATATTGTTCTCTCACATTTTCATTTTTTCCTTTGTTCAGCTGTGTGACTTTGGATTGGCTCAGTGGCGCTCATGTTCAAGGCTAGGCATGAGTAAGAGAGAGGGAGAACATGCAGGAACAATCACTCATGTGCCCCCAGAACAATGGAAAGATATGAACCGTGAGCCAAATGTTAAGTTTGATGTTTATGCCTTTGGTATTGTTGTCTGGGAAATCCTGGCCAAGGAAATGCCTTACATAAGTAAATAGATATTTTACTAATATTTTGATATTATTGTAAGTTTTTGTGAAAAGAGTGTGAGAGAAGATCACAGAGCCTACCATATACTAGCAATGAATTTTAAAATTCTAAAGTACTGTAACAACATAATAATTAGGTATTATGCTACGCTGAGTTTTATTTTTAGTTTAATAGAAAATAACCCCTACTATCAGTTACCCGATATATAGGTGCATGCTTCTGAGATTTTGAATGGCGGGTGTAAAAAATATTATTCGTTTTTTGCTGTTTCAATTAACAAAATTCTTAATATTTTGACATTTTTGGGCTTTGTTTAAACATAGCTGCATACCAAAGGCAGCATAAGAAAGGTATATTGATGATTCAAGCTGTAAAATGATATTTAAAACATATTATTTTGTATCATACATATATTGGTAGTACATATCCCTCGGGAAACAAACAAACAAACAAACAAACAAACAAACAAACAAAAAACATTAGGTGGACCTGTACCTCCTTAAACAACCCTAACCCTCTTTAAAAATTCATTGGATACACTTTAGTTTTCCAATACATTATAAATTGCTTTTCACAGATAATAGGACAACAGTTATCAAAGAATGTGTGAGTGATGGACAGAGACCTGATATGAATAAAATCCCTGACACAGAAGACTGGCTAAGGAAGATCATAACTGATTCTTGGAGTCAAGATCCAAACAAGCGGCCAACATTTTCAGGTAGCCAATTACATATGGCAAAAATTGAGAATACTTTTGCCTGAAAACGATTCTACAATGTAATGCCTTTACTTTAAAATATTTGGCAAACTTGAAAATGGGCCTCTCAATAATTTTGAAAAGTTTGTCACCTAATATGTTCAGGTAGGATTCACACATTTAAAAAGATTTCATTTTTACTGATATAATATTTCAGTTTTTACCGTAAATTGCAGGTAGCATTTCATGGTTAAATGTATTAATTTACTTATTATATAACTTATAACTATACTTTTAAGTTTGATTTCATTTATATACCTACTGTATATATACAGGCTTTACATTTAATGTTAAATATTTGTTAAAAATCATTTTTCCTATTTTACTGACTGATAAATAAAGATGAGAATTGAAATTGTATTTTAATAACTTTAATAATCTCGATGCCGTCACTGTGGCACCAAATTTTTAATTAAATTCGCCAATGAGGCAAAGAAATTCACTGCTGAATCTAAGTCATACCAAGTGATGTTCGGATCTCCATATTTTCCAAATTATTATTTGTAAAAGTGCTACACGCCTCACTAAGGACCCTCAAGTCAATGTCTAGTCGCAGCAATAGTCGCTGGAGCGTCTGGCCTCAGCAGGGCTCTCAAGTGGCAAGGCATTCCTTGGGATAGGTTTTTAGAGTTTTATCTGGAGTAACATTCCAGACATTGGTTAGAACTTGTCCAATTTGGTTCAGTTTTATTGATGGAGAAGTAGGCCGTTGTCAAGGAGTAGTGACCTCCCACAGATAGTCTATGTGGTTCAAATCTGGCGATCTTGAAGGCCAATGCAGTGTATATAAAAGTGTCACAATGTTATGTTAAAATATCTTCTACAAGCGCGGCATGGTCTTTCAGGCTTCACAAAATCAAATTTTGCAATATAATAAAAAGGTGCAAAATTATTAATTTATCCTGTTGAAAGAAAAGAATGCCATTTTATATCAATATATATGTGTAATAATTATTATTTTTAGACCTAAAGGAGAGGGTGGACCCTATCCAACAGGCCAAAAAATGTCTGATTCCCGCTGCTAAAAGACAGCTGTCACAGGGGCTTGCCAGTGTGAGTGGATAAAATGTTATTATTGGTTCATTTTATAATTTATATACCTATTTATCAAAATGTAAAGCATGGTTGGTCTATTTTTGCAAAATTTATCGCACATTTTAATGTTTTAATTTTAACTTAAAAGTCGTAATTTTCAATCCAGCCATCCAGTGATATCTATTGTACAATCAGTTTGTGATAATAGCCATCCAACGTTTCTATAACTCAATAAACTGAGCTCCATAAAGACTTAGCAATATGTTAATAATTAAATCACAGCTCACGGTTTATAACCTTTTCTAATGTTGTACATGTACCTTATTTTCATATAAGTGCCTCTGATAAGCAATCATTCCGAAGCTAATGGGAAAATTAATGTTGCCCTATATTTGTTGGGTTTCATGGTAAATTATCAATGTTTGAAATGTCCCATGGCCATATCATATTTTTACATTTCCTTCAAACCTTCCCCAATTCAGACATTGAAAATGATAAACTTCTCGAAATGAAGTAAAGCACCTGATGTCAATATTTTTCTAAAATCTATAGAAAGAAGGATATATGATATATTTCGTTCATATTTATATATTGTAATTTTCTGCCCTGTTACAGAGCTGTCAAGGTGACATGCGCAATTCCTTTTCAAGCACTGGGGATCCAGACATGACCGGTAACTATTTCAGTGTTGCTGCTGACATGACAGATAATCAAAAACGCCAAACCTGTCTTTTAAGTTTTGCCTTTATTGACCATGCGCTATAAATGTGTAGTTTATCCTCAGTTTTTCGGTAGGGTTGCATATAGGCAATGTATGATCTTTCAGGCCTCATAAATCAAAGTTTGCAAAGGTGCACAGATATTTCCTTTAGCTTGTTCTATAACATTCTTATTTATTTCAGAGAGAAAATTCATAAGCTCATTTGTAACACCTACTGTGTCGCTGTTGTATGTATATATCTTAATACCAAATTGCATGTATAACAACTTTTTTCAGAGGTAAAAGAGATAGCGGATCCTAACCAGCAGTCTAAAAAAGGTCCGATTTCAAGTCGGCTGCCAAAAGATCCTGACAGTGTGAGTTGATAATTTTTGTGATCAGTGGCCCAGATGATAATTCATATGTTGTAACTATTTATCAAAACAGGTGAAAATAATGGCTCTCTCATTCTACCAAACTTCATATATAAGAGAAAACATGATTGGTTTATTTTTGCAAAAGTTATTGCTCATTAGTGGTATTTTTTAATCCAGCTGTCCAGTACCATCTCTGGCCTAAGCAATTCATTTGTGAATAAAGCCCTCCAATATTTCTTTTACTTAATAAACTGTGCCATATTATAGATTGCAATGTGTTAGAAATGAAACACAGAATTTAAATTGTTTCAGGTCACTATATTTATTTCTATGCTGTAATATTATAATTCTCTGCCTTTGTACAGAGCTGTCAAGGTGACATGCCCAATCCCAGCAGAAGCATTGATGAACAAGGTGTGACTGGTAAATATTTTGTACGTACTGTAGAGGAACAATCATGACTAGTTACGGAAACTAATTATTAATCTTTCATAATTTTTAAAAAATATAAATCATATATGGTGCCTTTACTGCATAAAAATCAGGTAGCCTGTATTCAATATTGTTGCTACCCCCAGCACTCAACAGGAATGTTCTATTTTTAAATTATTTTTATGACTTAAAATATAGAATCTATAGAATTCACAATTTTCCCATTGAAAAGATTCCATCATTTTATCATATACGAGTAGCTGCTTTATTTATTCTGTTTTTGTAAAACTAATGTTAACATTTTTGCCAATGCAAATGTCTTTACTAAAAATTAATGGCAATTTTATTAACATTTACAATGTGCCTTGACAAATATTCATTACTTGCATCTGTCGTCACAGTGTCAGTGTATTTTCCTAGATTATTTTCAATTGTCAACACATTAAAAGGAAAAAAATGTGATTCTCATTTACAAAGAAAGATTAAAAGAATTAAAATACATCTTTACTGTGAAATCTAGTTTGATTAAAATATATGCTGTTAGATTGAATTACTATTTTTCACATTATTTTAGAGAGATTCTTATTTACAAAGAAAGATTAAACGCATTAAAATACATCTTGACTGTGAAATCCAGTTTGATTAAAATATATGCTGTTGAATTACTATTTTTCACATTATTTTAGAGAGATTCCATGTTTACCTGCTGCCTGCAACCAACTGTGCCACCTATGGAGAGTGTCTGCTTCAGGTCACGTTGGAGAGGATAATATTATGGGATGTAGAGAATCCGAGGAAAATTCTTGAAGAATGGCCCATCACTGCTCTGCGGAGATACGGCACAGACACCAATGAGTTTGCCTTTGAGGCAGGAAGGTAGGTTTGATTTTTGTAAACTGTTAAGAAGAGAAAGACTAATTAAGAGCGCGTNCACCTTGCCACCCTCTGACTGGTCCTATCATGGACACACACTTAAATAGATTAGATTGTCATAATTTTACATTTAAGGGCAGAATGTCTGATATATTTTAGGGGGTTAAGACATGGAATAAGATCATTTAATTTAAGATTTGTCATTTTAGACACTGCAAGACGGGAGAGGGTATATTTTTGATAAGTACAGATTTGAGTGAAGAAATCTATGCCAGGGTAAATGATGCCGCTTGTAGTATTGCATGTTCAGCAAGCAATAGGGTAAGCTACAGAAATGTTGTCAATTTTAATACAGTGGCGGATTTTTTTTTTTTTTTTTTTTTTTGGGGGGGGGGATTCAGAGGGATTCGGTTTCTGAAAAATATACCATATCAATATTCCCCTCTTGAAATTAGAATTTTGACTATCTGAATCATAGTTCTAAACCATACAAAAGGGGTCAGTTTGCCTTCAAAAACACCAAAAATATTTTTGGACATATAGCAGGCCCCGAACCCCACGCCAAGAGGGCGATGTTGGGCTTTGCATCCGAAGTCTGATGTCCCCCCTCCCCTTCAAATAATCCTTGATCCGCCGCTGTAATATGTGTAGTTTTACAGGTGTTTGCGTATGTCCTGAACACTATCTTTGTTGTCGGCGTCCAATACGCACGTTGTTCGTGCTTTAACTACCAAACCGTATTTGTATTGTTTTTGAATTTACTAAGTAGAATTGTGGGGAAAATCTTCAAGTTTGCCGAGTCTCTTATTTGTTTAGTTTTAACATGTGTTAAAACATGTAGGATCCTTTCAAAATTCGCCATAATTGCTATGGATATTTTTACACATGTTATTGGATTTTTGCATGTTTTGGTAACAAACCAGTAAACGAAAAAACATATTTTTGTTTTATTTTAAATATGGTGTGTCAGGTGTGCCTTTGACTGGTACAAAGGCAGGTCTCTTTTGTAAACCAGCAAAATCTGAATAAGAAAAGTGACTCTTTTTGTTGGTAAATTTTGCTGTTTTTTTCTGGTATGGTCTATGTATATTTGCAAACTTTGGAGTCTAGATTCAACATACGTCTCAACGCTTCATAGATATAGTAGTGTAAAAGTTGCTGCAAAATCAAGGATGCAGTTAATTTGGTACACTATTGCTAGGTTTGAATGGTTTGACCTCTGTTATAATAGCAAACTGAAAATATTTCCTCATTGCAGCCTGCAGACAGAGACCCAGCAGAGCAAGATAATCCACTATTGCCAACCACCCAAACGCTTGCTGTCCAAAACCAAAGAGGTCAAAATTCAATTTTTGCAAAGTTTGCTAAGAATTTCAGGTGTCTTAAGAGGAACGATTTTGAACACTATTGATCAAACTTTGCAATATTTGGAGGTGACAATCGTACCCACAGTGGAGCATAATTTGTGATCATATTTTTTTTTCTGGAGACTAGTCGAAAAAGTTCATGGGTATGTGTACAAGGGAGTGAAATGAAAGGATGGTTTACTGTACTTATATATAAAAAGTACATGGGTATGTGAACAAGGGAGTGAAATGAAAGGATGGTTTACTGTACTTATATATAAAAAGTACATGGGTATGTGAACAAGGGAGTGAAATGAAAGGATGGTTTACTGTACTTATATATAAAAAGTACATGGGTATGTGTACAAGGGAGTGAAATGAAAGGATGGTTTACTGTACTTATATATAAAAAGTACATGGGTATGTGTACAAGGGAGTGAAATGAAAGGATGGTTTACTGTACTTACATATAAAAAGTACATGGGTATGTGTGTAAGGGAGTGAAATGAAAGGATGGTTTACTGTACTTATATATAAAAAGTACATGGGTATGTGTACAGGGGAGTGAAATGAAAGGATGGTTTACTACACTTATATACAAAAAGTACATGGGTATGTGTACAGGGGAGTGAAATGAAAGGATGGTTTACTGTGCTTATTGGAATCAATTTAGTAGAAATAATTATAATTGTAAATAAATGACATTACTGTTTGCATGCTCGAAATTCTCTTAAGAAGTGTACGTGATATAGTAACCAGAATGCCTTTTTTAATAGATTAAAAAAATACACTTCGAGTGAAGTCCATGATAATTTTATTTAATTTTACAAACGTATAAAATATTTCTATTTCTTCCCAGATAGAACTTTTAATCCCATGATGATTTCAGGTAGATAAGGTGTTTTAAGTTGTAACGAAAATAAAATGAAAAACCGTTTAAGTATATTTCACAAATAAGTAAATGTCATGATATTTGTGATGAATTGAATCATTTCTGCCTCAAAAGACCGAAGTAGATTTGTAAATGTAATATACATTTCCAGTGCCAAAGTAAATATAAAAAGGATGGAACATTAAAACAGTCTGTGCATATTTGTTTTATGATGAATTTTACATATCAGCTTATTGAATGTTACGAGCAGCTGTCCTATAATGTCAGTATATATATATATATATATATATATATATCATATATATATATATATATATATATATATATATGATATTATATATATATATATATAATGTCAGTATATATATATATATATAATATATATATATATATATATATATATATAATATTTATCTGTGTTTGTCTGTTAAGGAGCATGCAGAACCCTTGCAAGTAGCAAACTGCACTCCTAAGAATATTTACCAAATAATTTTTGCTATAGGTTTGTTTTATTTTTAACTTATCTAGTTAAATAAAAACATACTTTGAGGGTTATTAAGTGATATTTTTATCCTCTTTGTTATTTTCTACAACATGCTGGCACAATGCAGTCATCTGTATGTAAGACAAAGATAAACATTTGTGGGCACCTTAAGCGTAATGTTGCAATTTTCCTGATGTGCAACTGTAGATGATTTCAGTGTACTTTGTGCCATTATTTACCTTCAACTTTGTAGTAGAGTGATGACCTCGCCATTTTATCAAAAATTTTCCAGTGCCCGAAAATAATAGTTTCTCTTTATAGAAGCTTTTCTAAAAGGAATGTTTTTATAGTTTTTATATTTCACACAATATTTAATGCTAAGAAAAAGCGAAAAGGAGACTTTGTCTGATCTGCTGTTAATATTTTACAAGGAGCTTAAGTTTGTAATTCTTCTTAATGCAAAACAAAATATTAATCTTTTAAGTTAAGTTAAAACTATTTGCTATTAATTGTATGTCAAACTGCGACGTTTTCCTCATTACAAGGCTGCGTTAATCCCTGTAATCAAAACATTTATGTAGAGTAAAAATAAAAAAATTAATGACCAAAATCTAATAAATTGTGATGTTTGTCTTTGTTAATTAATTAAAATCTGAAGCTAAACTACATATCAGAAAAGTCATAATATCGCAAAATACCCAAGTGTCTATAAATCTCGGCTCGTCTAGTCTAGTACAAAATGTAGAACGTGTATTTCTTCACGTAGGAATTGCATTACTTGAGAGTCTTCGTCCTACAGACATTCTTCAAATCTACCATGAAAACAGCAAGGCAGAGAAGGCGGCCCCCGCACTACCTTGGTAGTTATCACTGTTAAAAGGGAACAAAATTACAGTTAAATACACGTCATTATAGAATATTATATTAGTATACAAATTGAATGAATATATGAAATAAAAAGCAGATAAGAAGCAATTATTAAAAGTACAACCCAAAACAGATTGGAAAGAACAAATGTCGAATGAAATTGCCCAGTAAGCAAAAACTTGCGAACTGCATATAAATACAGCTGGCCACGTTAATATCTGACAAGGATGAATGTGAGAGTTTGGTTGCGACCACCATTAGAAAAAGAAGACTAGCACACAAATTCAAAAACTCACAATCAAAAGAGCAGACTAGTAGTCTTTTGCAAGAAATTAAGAAATCGCCATAATACAAACATGTTCGTTATTATGTCCAAGATACAAATAACTTATGATGGGTAGGGATAGTGGCTTTTTTGTATAAGAAGAGAGAGAGGTCATACTTACTGAACTTGGTGCCGGTTTGGTGGTTATTCCTGAGAAAGGTAACAAAAATTTACAGTTAAATACACCATATCAGCTTAAAGGTAAAGGTAGAGGTAAATTGAATGTGAATTGCCAAAACAAAATTTAATATATAACGCGTATCTAAAGATATATGTATATTATCTGATAAATTTATGACTTTTGCCTTTTGGTAAATAAATATTGATAACGTCATCTGTTCACTTTCTATTTTTTAAGTTAATTGTATTTGTCGGACATATACTTGGAATTCATATATATAAATTCGTAAGATGGGGAGAAATACGTGTTACCCTTGTCCTTTTATCCTTACCTGTCGGCGCAGCAGTAGCCTCTAAAAATGAGAATAAATTTAATCAAATATGACATTAGTATCTGCAGGTTGAAGAAATCGTTAAGATGAAAAGAAGTAGATAAGAATAAAATCCATTCCTATATTTGTTTATGAAATTTAAGTATTAAGCACAAGTCGGCTGTCAATCTACAGATATGAGTACCCATATTTTTCATTACGGTTGTAATATAGTATATAAAGTTAACGCTTCAAAGACGGAAACGCTTCAATTCCCGTGCTAATCTATTTCAAGCTACTCACCTTCACAAGTAACCGTGGCTAACGTTATTTCTATATTTGACAGCGCACAGAAGTCTTTCACAGTAAACATATATTTACTATCCGGGTCAGTAGCCATGGCCTTCAGCTCGACAGTATTAACATTACTCCCAACTCCAATTGCGGACACAGATGCAATATTACGCAGCATGGTTGCTTCTCTGGCTGTCGCCACCATGTTATTAGACTGGCCGTCGGTCATTACGATAACGATGTTCGGGACGTTCGGTCGATCACCTTCGGCAGCCGTGAAACTGCTGGTGCGGGCGGTGGAGAGGGCTAAAGCTGTGTTAGTACCACCTCTCTTCTGCTTGATCCTGTCGACGGCGGCTAGGATGGCGGCCTCGGTGCTGTGAGTGTTAAGGTTGAACTCCTGCACTGCGTTACTACAGACCTGCAGAACACCGACCTGCAGTGCGTTTGGTCCGACGTTGAATTCTTTCACCAAAGACTTGATGAATTGCAGTTGTTTGGCAAAGTCAGGTGCGTTGACGCTACCAGATCCGTCTATGATGAATGTTATGTCTACCTTCCCCATGCAAGCTGTAAACATCACTTAGTTTATAATTGCTATTTTAATTCATATATAATATCAAATAAAATTTAAAAAATTAAAACAAATAGTGAAAGAACAAAAATGACTACTGAAAATGTCATGTTAGCTTCTTGGCGGTTGATTTAGGTGCCGCCGGGATTTGAGCTTACTACATCATGTCACAGGTATGTTTGTCCATACTTTTTGTCACGTACCCATGGAAATAACATTGCTGTCCATATGTTGCTTGGTCGATTTAATTATTAGGACCCAAACTTAAACCGTTAGGGAATGATCTTACCAGGCTAGCAACTGGCAAAAAGAACCAACCCCTCTCTTATTGCAAATTAAGTGATCCTCCAAGCGTTTATTGACTTTTAGGGTTGTATTTAGTGAAATGCAAATGTTAAAGTCTCTGTGGGCACGTATGCGTGTATATGTACTGATCATACGTTTACTTGTTTTCTTCACATCGTCTTTACTTGATTACAAGGAACTTTTCATTCTCATGGGCAAATTACCATTCAACATTTCCTTATTTGATAATGCCTAAGAGACATTATCAACATTACATCATATCCAGTAAATTGACTGCAAATTGATGAAATTCAAATTGATGTTTACAGCGGATCTAGTATCTAATGATTTACTATCTGATAATTTTGAAGACTTATCTGGTCGGTAAATAAATATTGATAACGTCAAGAATGTTCTAAGACAAAACTAAACGTAACCATTATTTGTTGCTACTTAATGTATTACTGACCTTTTGGTGCATTCCTTCTCTTGATTTTTACCCAGGCGTTTCCCAGTGTGTCAGCGAGATTTGACACCAACGAATCACTCTCCACTAGCTGCTTTTGTTGCAGCTTTTTCTTGTTCTGCATTTCCTTGCCTGTTTCGTAGAACTTCTTTTCCAATCCATCTAACTATAGGAATAAGGCAATATGAATCGCATTAAAGACAGTAAATTATTTGAGTTAATCATCTAAGTAGTAGTACAGTATGGAAGGGAGAAGCTGCTTTCTCTGAGGAAGAAAAATCATTTTGGTGCAGGACAATTCGCTCATCCATAAAGCACGGTTCGTGCAATACGCGCTGCAACAGCAAGGTATCCCAAATTTGGATAGGTCAGCATATTAACCAATTCTCAATATAATCGAAAATGCTTAGGATATGATTGACAGAGCAGTAAATGAGAGACAACCTCCATTCAACTGACATTCGATTGACAGAAATTGGTGACAAGTTGCAGGAGACAATAAGAAGCTGTTGTTCAAAACCAGGGAAGGCACACCCGACATTTATTGCGCAATAGACGATTAATCATCTATCAATCATCTATCAACATCTATCAACAGCCCTCATTTATCAAAACTAATTTTTAGATGATTGATTTTTTTTCATGATAAGCTGTTTTAATCAGCACGTACTTTTTGTTGTGTGAGCATACTTTTCAGACTCATGGTTTGGCATATTTTGGTGTCGTTTGGTAAATATAGTTATTTTGATTATTACAATAAGCTATGTGGTGTTTTTCTTTTAAGGAAACATTCAACTTGAATAAGTTACTTATAAAATATAAAAGAAGTATACATAATCCCACTAACATATGAAATAATGATCATGACAGAAGAAACCTTTGAAAAAATCGGTCTGTTGCTTAACTGATGAGCATCAGTGTATGTGCTTGTGAATTTCCACCAGGGCTATACTGGTACCAAATCATACAATTTATCTGAATACTTTACATGCATTATCGAAGTTGGTGTTGTGTACAACATGCTGGTACCCTGAAGGCCTATGTAAGCCAAATATAAAAATGTGTAGGATCTTTAAATTCCATTTGAATGTTGCAAATCTAAAATTGTAAGGCTGCTGTAATAACAATATATATTTTGATAAGTGTTTGCTTCCATTCTTGCTGTCATTTTATTAAAATGTTTGATGTTGGGTGAAGGCAAAATTTTGATGTATTTTTTCAGTGTCTTTAAAATGGCTAACGTCTGATTTTATTCACACTGACTGCGTTTATTTGTAATTATTTGTTGATATAATTCAGAAGTCCTTGATCAGCTAAGAAGCTCAGAGAATGCTTATACAATGCTCATGAATCAGAATAAAGGATAAAATGATAAATGACAGAATGAAGTTTTAAAAAATCCTTAACTTATCTTTGCTAGTGCACGGGCATTTTGGCTACAAATTCACCCTCACACAAAAAGATTTTTAAATTGTAAAAGCAGTAAATTATCAATCTAAAATAAATGAATCGAATTTTATATAACTTACGTGATTATATGGTGGTGTCAGGTGACCAGAGAAAGGTGACCTTGTTAAATAAATCAAGGTGACCCATTTTTCCCACAAAAACCGATCAAATGCCACAGCATATAGTTTCAAATAGTATAACTAAGAATATAGTAAAAAGCATCGTTTAATATTAAATGGTATTTGAACGGAACGACTTTTCTCTAAGCTTTTTATACTGCAGGTCAGATAAGTAGGCAAATTTATGACTAAAGAAAGGAGCACTTTAAAACTCTTTTATTGCTGATCGAGTGATTTATTTAGTTTATTCCTCGAAATGTTGACTTTATACGAGTCGCATAAGAAACTGGTAGAAGTGGTTTATATGCGTTCGTGGGAATCCACGCTCCACCGATGCTCAGTTCATATGTATCATTAAGAAAAACATCTAAAATCAAAAACCTAAATAAAATTAGGGCTTATTGCTTAAATACTTATAAGTTAAAATGGCAACGGCATACTAACCTTTTCTTTGGTCATCGTATCAACCGTACCGGTTCCTGCATTATGAGTTTGGATCCCTCGTCGCAGATTGACAATGTTGTGTCCCCAAACTTTACTATGCTGAACAAGAACCAACAACGTACAAGATAGCAAATGTAATACTGTCATTCTTAAACTGAATGCAACAAGAGATTATGGTTGTCTACAGTGATGGGGAGATCCGTGTGTAAACGTGGAAGGTCTACGCATGCGTTCATTTACACACCAGTCATGGGAGGGGTTTGATGTCATATTTCAAGCACTTGTAATTGCACTGGATGGCGTTGAACATGTGATCTAAAGTGGGCGTCACCTCCATTACCTTTACTGTATCTAAGTTGACGTACTTTTTGAGCAACAGGCGGTAGGCACTGTGAACATAAATTAGTGATATATTGAGGTTTAACAAAGTGAATTTACATTGGTACATTTCAGCGTTTGTTGTGAATAGTGTTGCCGTCTCACACACGCTATCCGACGATTTAAAGAAAGATTTAGGACAAACACACAAATTCACGTTTTTACCCTAGGTTACCTGTCCATGGCAGATTTTAATGGAAATGGACAGCACCCTCAGTTTCTTGGGCAACTAAAAACTATCTAATTGATTAACAGTTTGGCAAGATGGCAGTGGGGTCATTTCATTCCCAAATGAGAAAACAACCATTCCTTATGATTGAAAAAGAAATTTAAGATTATCATCTTACAGTAGTAANTAACACTCCAAGGAACATGTGGCAAATTGCAACAGTCATTAAAACTTTTCCAGGGAGAGATGGACATGTAAGATCTGCAGAAGTACAAACTGTCAACACAACTTTGATTAGGCCCATAACCAAGTTGTGCTTATTGGAAGAGGTCACAGAATGCAGAACTGTGTGATTTATAGACTTTAGAGACTGTTTCATTACTTTTGTTTTATTATGGTTTATTCAGAGACTATGATAACATATGTTAATTGAATTTCAGTTATTATTCAGTTTATGTTAAAGTCAGAGACTGTCATAACAATGGATTTCATTCATGGAAAGGATATTCATGGAGGACATTTAAGACATGGAAAGTGATCAATGAGGACAATAATTCATGGAGGTTACCATGAAGGACATTGGATAAAGTGACAGTAATTAAACAGTGGACATTGTGTTACTTAGTTTAAGATTGACATTTAAGGAGTATAGTTAACTTAAGATGTACCATATACAGTAGTAATAAAAATTAAGTTTCCGTTGTACGACGTTTTAAAAACGTCAGAAACGTTTTAATCCCTATCCTATGAATAGAAGGGGGCGGACAAACAATGGAGAGCCGTCTAATCCCTTCAAAATTCGAACGCCAAAACACAATAGTTTAGACGTAATAACACGCAATACCTTAGGCGAGTGAACCCCATGACGCCGGTTTCTGTGGTCCAGCGCGAGCGCGACAATCGGCTGTAACTAGGTGTAATTAACAGCAGGATACATCAGCCAGAAGGTACCCATTGTTTGTTGTGGTGATATGATTATGGCTTTAAGAAGCTAGAACCCATGCTAACGCGTGCCACTAAACCGTCTCCCGTGGCGAACTATCATTATGTTTAAAGTGTTGCAAGAAAACTGCAAGTATAATTTAGTATCAGTTATTTAATATAATATGAAGTGTTCCGTAGTCAAAATTGAATTTGTTTAACATGCATCAGCATCGTGCATCAGCTTGATCAACAAATCACCCCGTCTCAAAAAGTTTAAAGATGCTCCGTACATAAATTCGCGCCCTGTGTAAAAAAGAAATTACAGTTTAGAAATAACAAAGAAAGAAACAGTATTAAAACAATTTATTCATATAACAAGCTGACGTGTTGCCTCAATTAAGTCACATTTCATATAAAATAATTCAAGCCAATCCGTAAATTTAAATAATAGAAAAACTTAATAACTAAATAAATAAATAAAATTTGACATAAGTCCATGGGGATTTTTCGGTAACAGGTCCACTTTTTCAGAAAAAGATCCCCCCCCCCCTTTGAAATTGTCAGCAGGGCTTTAGGTTTAACAGTCTAAGATTTATTCAATATGGGCAGTTAACTTGGACCAGTCTTGTTTCATTTACTTTGCGAATGAAAGTCTCCGTCGTTAACGTAAATTTCCAATATAATTTTACATCACTTATCTGATTTAACAATCTTATTGTTTAGGTTTTGTTTAAGGTTGTATAAGAACAGATAATGATCGAGTTTAACAATAGATTGAGGGCTATAGTAAGTCCCTCCTCTTTGGGCGATGTCTAAGACTGTTAATTCAACATACATAAACATGTAGTGTGACCACACTGTCAGCCATCCCCCTTGTTGCACGTTGCAAGCAATTTGTCTCATAACTATGACAAGGCGTTCTTTTTTCTCGTTGTTGTTTAAAAACGGACCACTTTGTCAAGGCTAACTGCTTAGCTCTTTGCGCGTCATATGTACTTAGCTCTTTGCGCTTCATATGTAAACGCTAAGATATGAATGTTATACTGGGTAGTTGATTGTTTTGCCCGGGCGCCGCGCTTATGCTTTCTTACTAGAGCGATCTAGAACAAGTCGCTAGTTTGCCCTGTTTGTAACTGTAGCAAATATGTTCGACATGCCGTTTCTGCACGACAGCCGGAGACACAGTAATTGTATAAGGCATGGTTTAAGCTTGTTCGAGAGATAATAACAGTCGCGTTTAACAAAAGATAGTAAGACCCCCTCCTCTTTAACTGATGTCTTACACTGTTAATATTGACCGCACTTTCATATATTATGTAATACACTGTCAGACTTTCCCCTGTTGCACGTTGGTGTTGGATTGTACTTGTGCCTCTGTCAATGCACCTCATTTAGTTTAATTTTTTTTTACCGCATAAACCTTTATGGTTTAAAGTAATTAGTTTAGTAGTAGGAATAGGATGGTTGGACAAAAAGCTTCTAGTCAACTGGCTTAGACCTAGGGTGTGATGCTGTTATCATCCGAGGAAACACCTACACTGAATCCTCTTCCTGAAATCCCCCTAGCTGAAACAAAAAATGCCCCTTGAATCGGTCCATTTTTAAAGCGTCGAATCATTTTTGATATCATTGAGCGTCTTTAAAAAAAAGCTTTTAAGTGACAAAAACAGAACCGTGTGGTGATTGTATATTAAAGCGTAGGTTTATTCATCATGATCTATTTTGTAAACAATACTTGCCTAGATTTTACTTGGATTAATCATCGTCACTGTTTGGCTACTCGCCTATAATGCGTGCTGAACGACAGACAACTTATAAATATTATATGTGTTACTGTGTATATAACCAAGTTAAAATAGAACAGTGTCGGTGATTTAATCCATCGAACACATTTATATTTCTAATTTTAAAACCAGTGTTAGGTTTACATCAAGTCAAATTAAGTAAACCTAAGTAAATTAAGCCTGTTTCTAGTTCATCCACGCTGTAAATGCATGAAGGATAACAAGTCTCCGTAGCCAATTAACTTTCACAATGCCCTGTGCTTTAGAGTCCCATGTTATACAAGAAAATAAATATGGCCTGAGAGAAATATAAATATGAGGCCGTGTATGAAGATGTTTCAAATAATAAAAATCAAGAATTTAAACATGTTAGGTACATGCACATCACTTAATAACTCATTTCACAAAAATGTCATCTAATTTTTCAGATAAACCTCCACTTTTATCGATCTCAACGCCTTGTCTGATGTTTACATGTAGGCGGTATACTATAATATTATTTGCGAACAATATCAACAGCGACTTGATATCGTTGCCTGTTTTTCACACTTTTAAACAAACTCATGAAGGGTTAATAAAAGGATTCGCGTTGCGACATCTATCTCTTTCTTTCGAACAAGCAAATTAAGGGCTGACCCGAAGTAAGCTTTCATAACTAATTTCTCTTTGACTGTACAAGGGTATATTGTAATTACTCCACTTGGTCGCCTCCATTGTCTTGTAACAGTGACAAAGAATGTTTTCACACGCTAGTTTACATAACTCCTTTGCCTTGTGTCTTTATCAAGGTTATAATCAGTTTGAATAGGTTGTCTTGCCTCACTTAAAAAGGGAGTTGTTCTTCACACTGGTTTTTGCCTAACTTAAGGTAACCTACTTTGTACAAATATGGTTTTAATAAATCGCCAAAATCATAACACTAGTGAACATTGTGTATCAAACGTTTTGATACGATTAAATAAATGTGCAAGAAGGGTTACAGAATGAGTTACTATTTACCTCCCCCCCCACCCCCCCCCCCCCCCCNCCCCCCCCACGCGCCCCCCAAAAATGCTCTTTTGATTTCGAAATGAATTTGTTTTTAACGCAAAGAAGTCCAATACCCCTTTCACGACTCAGTCATTGTACAGCATGTTGTAATCGTTATTTAAAAAAGTTAATTTTTGTACCCCGCCTTTCAGTGTTTATTGTGGTGCTTGCTTTCATCGGGGACACTGCCTGTTGAGGTTACAATTACGTCACTAGCCTATCTCCATAGGTTTCTGGAATATATCTAAGTACACGTAAAGCTTTGTAAAGTCTCTTTTGTCACACATCATAGTTATTTAATTTTGTCTTGAATGAAAAAATACCCTCAAATTATCGTTTTCTGCTTAAACATTTCATAACTTGGACCGAAGTTTGATATGCAGTGTACTGTAGCTACAATGGCATTCCTCAAGTTGGGTCTGCTGGGGGAGGGGGGCATTTAGGCCTAAATGATAAACGAAGAAGTCCACCTGTAAACAGCAGCGGTTTAAATGATCGCTATCTCGGTTCCTTTTTCTTTGACAGCATCATAGAAAATGTTAAGGGGGAAAGTCACACATACCCACGGCGTTGTTTTGTCTTCAGCATTTCCTCCTTCTTGCTTACTGCAATTATTATCGTCAATTAATGAAACCGAGAAAGCAATTAAATGATGGCACATTGAATACAATCACTAGGTGCATTTCGCTGAGTGTTAACAAGATCTAGCGAAACATTTTATTTCAAAATAAATTTATATGTGATTTTACCTCTGTCGTTTTTGTTATTTCAAACAAAACGATTTCCTGAAAGACCAACTTTAAAATGTATGTCTATTCAGCAAAATAATGTAAATTAATACAACTATGAGTAATGTATTTAAACTTCGGCCGTATATGCGATGGCCATGTGGGATTATAATTGCATACCTTGATGCAAAACAGTCTATCGTTTCTTCCACCGCGAGTCCCTTTAATTAATGTATTATATTACTCTTTACCCGTTTTATTTGACACTGTCTCTGTTTCTCCCCCCTTTTCCTTTCTCT